GAAGCCCGGTTATTCAAGAAACCATTTAACTTATTGTCCACTTACCTGCCTCATTTCCACCCTCATCAAAAGGGGCTTCACCAGCAAGGAGTTCATATTGAGGAAATTTGTATCTGGTGCAACTACATGGACTTATCCAGAACTCCAAATTCTAATGATGTAAACCAGGTGACTGGACAAATAACATAAAAGCCTGGTATCAAACCCAGGACTTCTAGTGTGCATCCATACACTACTTGCCCATTATGCCAGGGGGGGGGGGGGGTACCCCATCCCTGATGGTTTCTCCAACACATATGTCAAAATGCCCAGTGCTCAGTGGTCAACCATCTCTCCATAAGGTCGATGATTGGTGATTTCAGGGGCCAAGTACTCAAGTGTACCACAATATATTCTTTGGCTGGTGTCATATCCATCCATGGCCATCACCCTCCACTATCTCCGGTCCTTCCGGATTTCCTCCACTCCTTCCTCACTAACCTCAGAGCCTCCGGATTCCGCAATCACCTCCGACTCCCCTGATGGTCATCACCCCTTCAATTCAATATATTACCTATGTGTCAGGAACATGCCAGAAGCGTATCTGGGTGACCTGCGAGGTGTGCGAGGTCGTCTGGGCTCGTAAGGTCAGAGGGGCGGGACTTTAGCTTCAGCAACTCGGGTGGAGCGCTGTGCTTCATTCTTACGTTGGTGTCCCAATTTCAGACAGAAGCCTTACAATGAGGATAAGAGTTTAGAGGGGGAATCCAAGTCGATATACGAACTGAGGTACATCCGGTGTAACCTATGCGCATTATAAACACAAGTAACTAAATGAGAGCAGCCCGGAAGGAGTGGCGGATCAAGCGCGATATTAATGAATGAAGAAAGGAACAAATAATCAATATTGGCAAACTTGGTCAACAAAAGGCAAGCAAGGGGCAATAGGAGGAACAATAGTCCGCAAGCGGACAAATGTCAGAGTCTGCGCGTCTATTCGCAGCGTAAGTGTCACGGCCGTGCATTCCGGCCCGTTAGCCGCCCGTCCCGATGCCGCCCGAGCCCGTTACCGCTATGCGAGCGTGAGCGCGAGCCCCGACCTCAGCCCTATCCTCCCTGAGGGCTCCCTGCTCACTCCCCCACTTGCCCCTAGGCTCCCCTACACTTGGCCGACTCCCCCACAGCCACACCGACCTCCCTGCCCCGAGTCTGCCTCTGGTACCGACCTAGCGTGACTCCGCGACATCGCCTACTCCGCTATGATACCATCGCCGCTATCGCGGCCCTACACCCCTTCGTTTATTTATCTGTTATTGTTTGTTTTGACCCTCGGTCATTGCCGGCCGTGGTGCGGCCAACCCCGCTCTTTGTTCCTATTTGCTTCCGGACCCTTCGGCCTTCGGCCCGGGTCCGCTTCTATTCATTCCACCTTCATATATATATCCTGTATACTACATTATAGTACCTTAGCTCTAATATCAACTTGACCACGACCCCAAGCCCTGACCCCAACAAGGCAGCCCCAGTAAGTTCGAAATGAGGGCCAAGAGACAACTAGGGGGCACAGCACTCCCTTTAGAGTTGCTGAGGCCAAATGCCCTACCCTCGGGCCTTGTCTGAGGCATCGCGGCCATCGCGGCCCTTAGCGGTCCGCATCGGCGACCTTCGGTGCCCGACCCCGGATCAGTATCTAACAGTAAGAGTATCCCTAGGAAACTAGTCGATATCAAAGCTGGGGGCTAGCCCAGCTGGCATAGTAGCCTTATGTACATGAGTTCTGCTAACTCACGAGAGCGCAGTTACATTGGGAAGATGGTAACTAATAGAAACACGACATCAAATAGGAAGATAGAAGATGCGGGAAATGAGGGAATATCGGGTAAGGGGTGACGCGATAGCGAATATAGCGCAATGAGTTATATCTGCGTTCTAACTACGTAATTATCTCACGCAATCTCGGCTAACAATTACCTCATTGATATCGCTTAGAGTAAAGGGGGGCCGGATAACCGGGCGTCCCCTGACAACAAAAGAGAAAAGGCCATCCGGCCATCTAGCAAGCCGTCCGGCTGGGGGCGGACAACAATGAAGCGGGCAACCTAGGTTGGAGGGTACGCGCGCGAGGGAGGAAGTGCGGATGAGGGTGATGGGTGGACGGATGGGTGGACGGATGATGATGATAGCGGGAGGGATGGGCCAAGTGGCACTAGGACGCGTAGAGGGAAGTGTCAGATATGTCGGGTCGTGACACTATGCCTCCCTAAGTACAGAGCCCCAAAGGCCTCCGGACAGCTCTGATGTCTGCTAGCGCACCCCCACCTCCACTGGGCAATTTAGTTGCTTGCCCTGCAAGTCTACCTTCAGGCTGATCCCTCCTTTCTGTTTCTGGGTTATAGCCCATCACTCCACTAAACCCATAACCTGACTTGTCAGTAATATTCAGTTGGCTAACATGTAACTCCATTAGCTCCACTCCACTTGGTCCCACTATTCACAGGCCCACCCCCTATGTAACTATATATACATAACTTGTGGATAGGTTACACCCTAGTGATAAAATTGACTAGAGTTTCCCTCTTCTAGTTCTCTTTGCCAGTTAGTAAATTAGGGCATGGACATTGTAGGTGGGATAATCGCCCACGCACAGACTTGGCTCGGATACCCAATTCTACAATTAGGAAATGACTTTCATTCACACGACGACTCGGTACAAATTTGGTATCTAAAAATAGTCCTAATTCGTACGATTCTGACGATACCAAGAACGTCCCAATCGGTGGGGATTTGATGGAGTTCCGTGTTGGAGAAGTTAGGCATGGCAGGTCATGAGCATGTGCGGGTGTGGGAATCTCAAGTGGCAACCCAGAATTCCAGCCTCACTCGTTCCCACGGCGTCTAATAAACTGGTAAAAATGCCTATTGGCTGTGTGAGAGTTATCTCCGGCTTCATTTCCAATTTTGGCCCTTAATTCCGTAAATCCGTTGAGAAATCGCTTATTTTCTTTTATTTTCATATTTTGCCATCATTTCAGTTATTGATTGATATTCTTTTATTGATACTGTTACCCTTTTTATTATTTCACCTAATAAGGTACCCAGGTGCCATATGGCACCAATATTTCCCATCTATTATTTCTAAAAATAATTATTTCTTATAATCCTGTACATACCAGATTTTTGAAGAGAAGTTCTCCCCTCCCCCAATTCCTCTAAGGTGCTAGGACGCGCTAGGGTTGGAGTGAGTGTGTGGAATCCAACAGTAGGAATAAGGGCAACTGTCTAGCCCACAACGAGTGGGTAGTAGATTAGTTGAGCCCAGACCTTGCGGAATCCCGGAGAACCCACCACAGAGTTAAGGATCGAGCATAGTGAAGTTCAGTCAAGAAAGTAGGAGTTTAGGGAGAGTTGTTCCCCACGAGCTGTGTCGGCATAGAGAGCCGTGAGCCCTCTTCAACGTGTAACTAGGCACAGTGCTCCTGGTTTAGTCACCGAGGCCAAAGCCCTCTGCCACAGGGACATCTCCTTTGTCCCATATCCGGTCTCTGACAATGAGGACCTTGGCCTCAGCAACTCAGGAGGAGCACTGTGCTACTACTGTTTTGTCATTAATTTGGAGCTAACAATGGAAAGTCTCTAGGGGAAATTGGGTGGGGTTTCAAGTCAATTTTTAGACTGAGGCTACAAGTAATTATGTACATTGTATATAAGGAGGGTCAGAGAAAACAAAGGGGGCTGAATTGGGACAAGGAGCCTGGATGGAGACAAAGGGGTCTAAGAAAAGGAACAACATCAAGGGTCAAGGGTTTGACTCAATGGTGCATCTGGGGGTAAAGAGGGTGCAGGCCCAGAGGAGCAGGAGGAGGGGTGGGAGTGGGGTGTATGGCTCTAACTGGCTGAATGAAAAGAAGCAGTTGCCCAAATAGGAGTAAGGGAGAAAGGTGAGAGTGAATGGGACAATGCAGTAAACTGTGGGGTCCATGGTGTATCTGTGAGGTCCAGGGGTAACAGAGGTTACAGAGGCAGAGTTGGAAGTCCAAAAGGATATTGGGAAAGGTGATTGAATGAAATGAGGTCACCTATGCAGTGGACTTAAGTGGAGGTCAGGTCAAAGTCTGAGGTCAGGGTATGGAGACAGAACAGAAGGTAGTACCTTAGTGGAGAAGTGGGGAGGGAGTTGGGAGATGGAAGGTGATGTCAGGCCAGAGGTAGAGTAGACTCTTGGAGGCTGGCCAGGGCATGGGTGAAGTGGGACTCTGGAGTTGGTGCAGGAGTTGGGTCAGATCAGGTATGTATGGATATGACACTATTCTTCCTCATGGAAAGTCATGCACATTCATGAACATTCATAAGAAGGCATGGGGGTGCATAATGTGTCCTGTCAATTTCCAACTTGAACTGGTTATATTTGGTCATGAAGGTTCATGAAGTTTCATGAAAGTTCATGAAAACTTTCATGAGATTTCATGACTGTGTATGCTCATGCATGAACCCTCATGAATCCTCATGAATTTCTGTGCAGCTTCACGAAACTGCATGAATCCATGACCCTTCATGACTTGGGATTACACTTTTTTGCAGTTACTGAAGTGGGGATGCAGGGCATGTCTGGTGGCATGGTACCCACACAGGGTACTTGGCATCAGACGTGTCTGTGCTACAGGTGTAAGAGAGGAGGTCATCCATATAGAGAAAGAAGGAAGGAAAGAAAGGGAAAGGAAAAGAGAGGGAGCAGCATGGAGTGGTGTGGTGTGCCCTGACAGTGTTCCATCTGAATGATACACCCATGAGGGTGCATAGGCAATATCTCCATCAAAGTCTGGATTCTGGATTAGGAAGTGCACACATTCCATGGGATTATGCCAATAGAGTGTTTGTGGCTCATTGGGCACTCCTTTAAGGATTATCATATTGGACCTCCATGAAGGTGGGCCTGGCATCATCTTCACCCTATCATACATTGAAGCTGCATCCTTCTTGGTGGATGCAGATGGTCTGTCACCTAATCCCACAGCTGGTAGCAATCATTTATCTGGAATGTTAGGCTCATTCACCCATTTAAGCTTTTGGAAGTGATTGATCCCTCCTTGTGAAACACCCTCCATGCTCAACCAATGACAAAGTTCCCAATCTTCCTTGCTTTCAAAGGGTGCATAGGGCTGACCACTCTCCTCCTGCTTAGATAGTTGGACCCAAAGAGTCTCTATGGCACCTCCAAGAGGTTTTCCAGCATTGGAATCCACAACAACCCTTCCCAGGTGGGTGATCCCTCGATCACTGTGGGTAGTATCTGGAGTCCCATCACAGTGATTGTCATCCAACCCACCCCCTGTTGATGCATTGTCATCATCATTGAGAGGAGATTGATTAGGGGGATTCTGCACACATTGAGCCCTTCTCTCCTCTTCAGCCTTGCTGGCAGCCTGAAGTTTTGCTTGGCATGGAAAGCTCCTGAAGATATGGTTTGCCACCACCTTTACTACAGCACTCTTTGTAGCACCGTGGACAGCACACACTCTTCAAAACCTGGGATGACTGGGAAGACATGGTGGTGGAATCAATGAAGCCAATGGGATTTGGCCTGGATCGGTTTCAGGGTGGCAGCTGCAGCTGACAACTCCTTGAATGAAAGGCCTGAAGAATGTGCCAGAGGCTGCTATACCCCCTCCCAGATCAGATGTACAAAAGACAAAGAGGAAAGCTGCAGGAGTAAAGGCATGGGAGACTCAGCAAGCTGCCACACTCACTTATCCAACTCATTCACAAGAAACACAGGAAGGATCTTCCATGAATGGCCCTGTGGTGCTAGGTAGGGCATACCCTTGTTTCTATAGTCTGTTGATATCAAATCAGACCCAATGAAGCAAGCAATTCACTTGCCATCTCTGCCTGCATATGGGCTGCAAGAAGTGTCATGAGCCTTCATGGGACTTCATAAAGGATCATGGACCCTCATGGACCTTCATGAATCACTATGAGTCTTCCCAAGAATCATTGTGATTGATCATAAATTAGGATTCTTGGTACAACAATGACAATTGGGGGAATAATGGTTAATTACATGTTACCCTTAAGTTGAAAGCAATATGAAAGCATCACACAAGAAAGTCATGAATACCATCTGTCAGAGTGTGCATGTACAGAGGTATGGGTGGAAGCAAGTGGTGTGTCTGGAAGTGCTGTTCAGTGTTGGCAGAATGGGATTGCAGCCCCAGCAACTCAAGGGGAGTGCTGTGCCCTGAGCTTGACATCTGGGGGAGATCCCTTATTTGTGGAGCAGGGACTTACAGTGGACTTCAAGCAAACTTGTGGATGGAGCAGGCCTGTTGGAGATAGGGCAAAACTCAGTGGGGACAGACTCAGAGGGGGGGGAGCCCCCTTTTTGCAGAAGTTGAGACTCTGTCCAGACAGGGGGGGTTGCTCTAGTTGATTTCAGACTAAGGTCCCTGAAAGTATTTACAAGGTATAAATAAGGGAGAGAAATCATGGGAAGGGCCAGTCAGTCCAGTGCAGAAATGAGTGGGGATTGTTAAATTGAATCAAGGACAAGAACCCAGGTAATGGGAAGTGAAGAATGAATAAGTAAACAAATGAGTGGTGAGGGTTATTGGTGTGGGAAGAACAACTGAATGGGACTGACAACCTAGGTGCCAATATAGAGTGGATCAAGTGCCAGTTAAGTGAATGAATAGATAAATGTATTAGGTACTTAGTGTCATATCCATACCAACTGTCAGGGCACACACCCTGAATAGCCCAGACCTGGACCCACATCCGGACCCACTACATTTCCTGTGCACATTCCCATGCTGCATGCTCTGTGCACCGCATGATCCGGTCCCAGATCCTGCCTTCATGTGACTTCCAGATATTCCCAGAAGTTTTCCTGATATGGTGGCCACTGTGGGAAGATGAGAAGTTAGCTTCCTTCTCATCTTCTTACCCACAGTAGGTTGTGCCCTGGATAGGGCTGGTTACACCTCAGGGCTGTGGACCATAGGGGAGGGTCATGGGGACCCAGGAGTCGTCCCCTGACACCAACTCCGCCCAACTTCTGATCTACTCTGCCACCATTCCAGTTCACCTCTGGTTCGTCCCTCCCTTACCTCTGCCATATCCTCCAGTCCACCTCCAGTCCACCTCCACCTCCAATCTCTGGTACCTTCTCTGGTACCTCTTATCCTCATCGTAGATGTTTATTAATATTCCTATCTACCCAATATTACTACAGACCTCCTAGGACCTCTGCCAACCCCGCAAAGGTTTTCCCACTTTCCAATAGCTGTTGCTAATTCCGCCCTTCACATACCCACTCCACAATGCTTGATAAGGCGATTCTCTCATGAGCCTGCCAACCTGGCAAGTGGGTAAGTCCATCTTGGGTTTCCCCCTTGTTTCCTATTTGGCTTCTATTATGTATATAAGTCATGTACTGCAGTTGATGGCACTTTAGTGCAAAAATCGACAATAATGACTATTCCCCCAGAGTTCGTGCCCCCTTCATTCTGAAGTTAAGGACCAGACACTAAGCATTACCAAACATAGGCACAGCGCTCCCCTCCGAGTCGCTGAGGCCATGGTCTGTCATATCCATCCCCGGCCATCGACTTCCGGTTCCTCCGATCCCTCCAGTCTAACTCCGCTCCTCCCTCACTAACCTCGGAGCTCCCGTACTCCGCAATCTCTCGGTACCCCTTGATGGTCACCACCCCCTCATTTCAATTTATTACCTACGCCTCCCTAAGTACGGAGCCCCAAAGACTTCCAGACAGCTCTGACGTCCGCTAGCGCACCCCCGCCTCCGCTGGGCAATACACTCGCCTGCCCTGCAGAGCCCACCTTTGGGCCTATCCCTCCTTTCCGTTTCTGGGTTATCGCCTGCCTTTCCGCTAACCCTGCGACCCGACTCGTCGGTAATATTCAGTCGGCTAAGGTTTAAACCCTGTTAGCTCCGCTCCATTCGGCTCCGCCCATTGCGGGCCCGTCTTTGCTGTAACCATATATATATCCCACTTGTACATAGGTTACACCCCAGTAGAAAAATCAACTAGAGTTACCCCCCCTTTGGTTCTGATTGCCAGTCAGTAAGTTAGGGCACGGACGTGTCACTAGGCACAGCGCTCTTGGCAGAAGTCGCTGAGGCCAAAGCCCTCCACTATGGAGACACTCCTTTGTCTCGAATCTGGTCTCTGACATGGTCCTTCCACCCATCCTCTATCTCTGGCCTCCCTTCTGGGGAAAGGTCCAGGCACACTGCTCCCTCCTTGCTGTGTCCTGACACTTAGCAAGAAATGAGTAGTGTGCTGCCAAGTGTCATGGCCCTGCCAAAGGTGCCCATCTGTTACCACTCTCCCACTTCCCCACCACCTATCTTGCCCTGTCAGTCCTCTCCATAATTCATCACTCAGCGGTGCCATAGTTGACCCTGTCCACAGTCTGTCATATCCATACTCGGCCATCGACTTCCACTACCTCTGAACTCTCCAGACTACCTCCACTCCTTCCTACTAACCTCAGAGCTCCTGTATTCCGCAACCACCTCCGCTTCTCTTTGATGGTCACCACCCCCTCTTTTCAATATATTACCTACACCTCCCTAAGTACGGAGCCCCGAAGGTTTCTGGACAGCTCTGACATCCGCTAGCGCACTCCTGCCTCCACTGGGCAATTCACTTGCTTGCCCTGCAAGCCCACCTTCAGGCCTATCCCTCCTTTCTGTTTCTGGGTTATCGCCTACCATTCCGCTAACCCTGTAACCTGACTTGTTGGTAATATTCAATTGGCTAATGTTTAACTCCGTTAGCTCTGCTCTGCTTGGCCCCACCATTTACGGGCCAGCCCTCGTTGTAACTATATATACTCAACTTGTACATAGGTTACACCTCAGTAATAAAATCGACTAGAGTTGACCCCCTTTAGTTCTCATTGCCAGTCAGTGAGTTAGGGCACAGATGTGTAACTTGGCACAGCGCTCCTGGCATAAGTCGCTGAGGCTGAAGCCCTCTGCCATGGAGACATTCCTTTGTCTCAATCTGGTCTCTGACACAGTCCCACATCGGCACCTTCTCCCTTCCCATCACCACTCTAACTTTCCTGATCACTCAGCTACATGCTATTCATTTATTGCTGAGCACCCACATGTCCTGTTCCTGCCCATTTGCTTAACTTACTTTAGTGGCCAATATTGGCACCTTTGATCTGTCCCTATATTGACACTTGGTCTGCTACTATATTGGCACCCAGGTTGTTAGTTGCCTCTCTACTTTGCCTCTTTGTTTAATTGTTCATTCCACTGCTCTCATTCATTCTCTCACTCTCTGTCTCCCTGGTTCTTGTCCCTCATTTAGTTTGTTGCATTCACCACTCTGCCTCCCATTCAGGTGCCACACTGACTGGCCCCTCTTCTGTTCTCCCTTTTGTATTTATGCATTGTAGATTACTATGTATGTACCCAGTTTGAATGTCAACTAGAATACCCCCCAAGTGTCAGGGCACACACCCTGACTAGCCTGGACCCACTACACTTCCCACACACATTCCTGTGCTGCATGCTCTGTGCGCTGCATGATCTGGCCCTGGATCCTGCCTTCATGTGACTTCTGGATATTCCCGGAAGTTTTCCTGATATGGTGGCCACTGTGGGAAGATGAGAAGTTAGCTTCCTTCTCATCTCCTTACCCACAGTAGGTTGTGCCCTGGATAGGGCTGGTTACACCTGAGGTTGTGGACCATAGGGGAGGGTCATGGGGACCCAGGAGTCGTCCCCTGACACCAAGTCCTCTTGTCCATAGTTCACCTCTGACTTTGTCTTCACTTGAGCCTACATTGCTGCAAGGTTCCCTCCACTACACCTGAAATACAGGATAGTCTAGAGTGTGTGGCACAATGCTCCCACTGACTCATTGAAACCAACACCCCAACCCCCTGACCCCTTGCAACAGAGTAACCTATCAGCTAAGTGATCACTCACACTGCCATACTCCACTCTACTTCCCATGAATACCTGAAGGGTTTGCTTACTATTTGGGGACAGTAACATTCTGTTCCCCCATTTGCAGTTAGTCCATCTAAACATAAGCTTTGATGGGCTGTATATTCAATGGGGTAGAGGTAAAAGGCTACTGGGCCTTTACAACTACTCCGAGGTATATATATGTAAATTACATATCTCAGCACAAATAAATAAAGAAATAACGGCATCACTATAATCAGAATTATAGTGAAGTAAGGTTAATCCCTTACAATACCCTTGAACACCATTTCTGACACCAAGCAGCAAAGGTGGCTGGAGGAAAAGCAGAGTTCAGTGCAGTGCCAACACAAGTCCATGAGTTGGAGGTTGAATCAGTCAATGCTGTCACAATAAGTGCTTGTGACATCTCATGCATTTTCATGCATGCTGATGACTCATCATACATGTTCATGGAGCATTATGAATGTCCATGATGCATCATGGGACATTGTAGCATTTTACATGATGGGGACAGGTCAAAATAAACATATGACACTCCATGAACACTCATGAACCTCCATGAGGCATCATGTCA